TGTTATTTTAATGTCCGTCTGTTCTTTCCTTTTTTTCCCTACTTTTTCTGATTCTCCTTGAGGACTCCCAGGCATCCCCTTCTTTAATAAGTATCTCTAAAACACGATAAGCAGTTTTTGTCTTAATCCAGATATATCTCCTAAATTTCTCCATGGATACTCTATGGCACCTTAAACTCGTTCTATCCAAAATAGAATTCATTCCATTCCAAGAACTATTTTTTCTCTTCCAATTCAATTGCTGCCTCTCTTTTTCCTTAATATTTATGTAAGTCAGGTGTAGGCAATTTTTTTTCTGTAAAGGCCAGAGAGTAAATATTTTAGGCTTTGTGAGCCATGTGGTTTTTATCATAACTACTCAATCGTGCTATTGTCCTGAAAGGCAAGTATAGTTAATATGTAAACAAATGTGTGTGACTATGTTCCAATAAAACTTTATCAGCAAAAACAGGCCAGTAGACTGGATTTGGCTCTTGGGCCATAGTTTGCTGATCCCTGATCTAGGTTAATGGCCATTCCAGCCAGAAACCTCTTAATTGAACTTTATCTTCCATATCTATCTGATCAATACGTATGATGATTCTACCTTTCCATCTGACCTGACCTGTTTCTGCTATCCCCACACACTTTCCTCTCTCAGACCTTCATCTCTTTCCTCCGTCAGTTGCAGTAGCTGTTTATCCAGTCTCATTGCTTTCTGTCTTGGAGTCCTCTAATCCATGCTCCACAGGCTGCTTCCAAAGCAGTCTTACGAAAACAGAACTTATCCTGTTGTACCTAGTTTAAAATATTCAGCACTTTGCAAATACCTACAATGCAGGGTTTCCTCAATTTTAGGTGCATAAAAGCTACTTGGAGTCTCTGTTAAATTAATCACTTGTGGGGCCCAGAAGTTCTGATTATATGAATCAGAATTGGAAGCCAGGAATCTGTATTTTAAACAAACATCCCAGATGAGTTTGTGGCATGCAATCCTCAGACATTTGAGAAGCACTGGCCCATGGGAAAGGGCAAACCCCATTTCTTAGAACACAAAGCCCTCCCTGACTTGTTTCTCTCTCCAGCCTCACCTCTCACAACCTCTCCCTGAGCATGTTGGGCTTCAGCCCTTTTCCTGAGCTGGGCTTGCTGTTTCATCCCTTTCAGTTTTCCCACAAGACAGTCACTTTGCCAGTAATGCCATTAACTCCTTGTCTGCTTGGCAAACTTCCTTTAAGGCTCAACTCAAGTACCAAGTCCTCTGATGAGTTTTTCTCTAAATGCCCCAATTCTTACCATGTATGTATCTATATTCCAGTACCTATAACATCTGTTTTCATTTGTTTATTTTTCTATCTCCTCTATTAGATTGTGAGTTTCTGGAGGGCAGGGGCTATGTCTTCTGCATTTAGGGTACACTAAAATTATATAGTAAGTACACTAAAAATTTGTTGATTTGATGTAAGAATTAGGCTGGGAATATTAATATTTTTATTTTATAGATAATTAAACTTAGGCTCTTACATGTTAACTGGCTTGTTTGAGGTTAACCATATTTCCAAAACAATCAAGAATATCATATTTTTTTTTGACTTTTGGTGCTTTTTCCATTACACATGCTGCCTGCCTAACATGATGGGGTTATTCCCTTGGCTCGGGTGAGCCTTGAATCCTGGAAGTGTCCAGTGGGATTTCCCAATTTGGGTATACTCATTAGATCTGTTGATTATTTAACGTTGTTGCTTCTGAGGCTGACTAGACTGAAAGCAAGTCAGTCCAGAGTCATTGCTCTTCACAAGCTTGGCCTCTACTCTATTTGGGTTTCTGGACATTTCCATCTTAGGGCTGCTACATCTTTTGGTTTTCTTCCAAGAATATAAATTGTATTTATTTTGCCTACTTTTACTATAATGAATTGTGTGGGCAACATTACTATTATTATAACTTGACAACTAACTGTTCAAGAGAAGGTAGGCTCTTTTTGGTGACTGCTTAAAGAGGGTACTGCCCATGTTTTCCTTTTCTGTACTTCTCATATAGCTCCTGGAATTCAAACCACCTACATCTTGAAATGCCCAGCTGAGATTAGGCAGCTGAAATCCAGCAAAGTTCAGAGATAACCACAGCAATCTCTAGAACACTAGGCTGGGTTTAACATAATTATATGGGAAAGGAATAAATGCTAATTCTTGATTACTTTTGTCAGAAAAAGAAAGATAATATGTGCTAAGAGATACAGACACGTAAACTTCAAGAACAGTCAGTATGCATTTATTTAGTGCTCGTTTTATTTTCCTTGTATTAAATTTTATCATTTCTGTCTCCTATCTACTAGGAATCTTGCATTTTTATCAATTTCATCCCACCTTGCACATAGTAAACACTCAGAAGAAGCTTGTGAAATGAAATGAGTGATCCCCAAATCACATTTCAACCTTTCCCCTTTGACCTATGGTACAATAATGATTAAAAAGTGAAATGCTCCAAAGGTAGGCAACCAGAGATAGAAAGACATAAGGGACCATTGGAAACCATCAACCAGATAATCAACCTCAGAAAAGCGGATGTCTGTATGTATAGCTGGTTACTTACAACAATAAAATACAACAAAGCAGCCTGGAAACCAGAAACTTGGCATTTTAATTTAAGAACTTTCATATTTCCTCGATAACTGTCTGTTTCACATAAATAATGTCCACTTGTAATATTTGTATTTCCTTGAAACACTTAATCATTTAGTATTTAATGAATTATTGCCTGCACCGTAAAAAATAAGCTGGTCTTCTTTTTAAGCAATTCAAATTTTTATTGGTTTTGTTTACCTAACAAGGAATCAGCCACTATAGTAGTTGCCACTTTAAGTGACCACAGAAAAACAAAATATATAATTATTTTATGTGGTTATGTTACAAGTTTATAAAGTTAGCTTCAGCATACTCATGTTTTGCTATAAATTGTATTCTTTTGGCCATACATAAGCTGTCAATACTAAAAGGTGTCTGAACATGCACCCAGATTAGCAATGTATAAAGGAGAAAGTAGGCTAAAATCACTTGTAAATCTTTTAAGTTTTAACATCCATACCAACGCTATTTTTGTCCTTTGCTATATTATGCAGTCCTTAATACCAGGAAAGATGTTTTAAAGTTAAATAGTAGCACCTTTTCCTATATATTGGTTTTAATCATGCCAAAAAATCATGTTTGTTTCTTACCAACCTTTATCAGTATGTTCACATTTTGAATCAAACATTTTTAGAAATGTTACTGAACACAATTTTATTATAAATAATGCATGGATGTACTCTGCGTGCAGTTCAAAATTTGGCAAGATGATTACAGACCACAATGCAGACATGCAGAAGGAAAGGGTATTAGGATGTAAATGAGGAGGAAGAAACAAAATTCAGTACATGGTAATAAAAGCGATCTGAAATTTGAATAGGTATAAAACATATTTTAACAAACTGCAAAAATATTTGTGACTCAACGTTAATTTAAAAACCAAAGTCTGAAAGGTCTTTTGTGATGACAGGCATCTGAAAAAGTGATCAGGAAGAAATTAATAAACAAGACTGTGAGTGATTTGTAAATAGAATCCATGTGGCATGTGAATTAGTTATTGTCCTTTCTTTTTGGCCACATTGTTGGGGTTTGATTTACTATATCATCACATTAGATGCTGGCAGAAAACAGCATTGCTAGCTTATTTCCAACATGTGGCCCCGGGTTACTAAAATAAAAATGTAGAAACTCTGTTGTATTTTAAGACAGAGTTAAAGCTCTTGGGCCCAATTTGTTCCTGAAGTCACTCTGAGAACATTGCAGTGTGTTTTGCTGGAACAGAATCAGGACCTTTTGCACTGATGTGACGGGGCAATGACGAACGTCAGGCTAAGAATGGGAATCTGTCCCCATGGGTTTCCTCCCCCCTCACCTCATTTCCTCTCCCTTCCGTTTTCTCTTGTATGTATTTTCACACGCATCTCATCCCAAGTTAACCTAAGGCACCTTCCTGGGGAGATGAAAGAATTAGGCAAGAATGCACAAAGTACGGGGTTTTTACAGTCTCAAAAAGCAGTTTTGCCTGTAAGTGACAGAAAAACACCATGTCAAGAATTCTTTTCTATTAGTTATTTACAAAAAATAATATAAAAATTAGTAATAAGCTTTATAGGTAGCTGTTAAATTGACTAATTTGTGTGATCTTAAAGAATAGTCAGTATTTTAACTATCATATTATACATATGCTGGAGAGCATTTTTATTACAGCATGGGTGAGAGACGATGCTGACTTCTCCTTTGTCAAGTGGACCCTGCTCCAGCCACTCACATTCTGTCCATTACGGGGTTACTGGCATCTCTCCGTTGTAAAGGTATGAACACTGGGGCCTGCCCTTCATTTAATCATCTACACGTTGTGTATTGTAGCTAAGTAATTACAGACGACAAAACTAAACAAATAGTGTTTAAATTACAATAGTGAAAGAAGATGTTTTAATAATCCTGAAAAAATCCTACATAGTATTTTCTTTGCAGAATACATGAATGGGAGATTTCAAAGCAGTCTTCTGGGAGTGTTCCAACCCTTCTCTCTCTTTCTCTTTGTGACATTTGCTCTTCTCCGAATGTAAAAAGTTTAATGATTTTCAAAAACCTTAATCTCTCTTTCTGGTAATTCCTCCTGATCATTTAAATAGGTTTCTAATGTCAAAAAAATACACCAGCTAAACTGCTTTCACATTTTGTGTCCAATTATAGTTCAACCAATGATGTGATACTACGAATAAAAAAGTTCTTTTAAAGAATTTTTAAAATTTTAAGTTGAGTAATTTAACCTTCATTTAAAAATTCTGTTTTACAGTGACACATTTCTTTTTTTGTATTGGATTTACATTAATTTAAAAAATAAATCTCTTTAATAGGAATTCTGAGTGGGCTCAATTTAGTTGTAAGTGGTGTCTGAACATACTGGAAGTTATTAAGAGCTATATTGAAGTGCTGACTGTAAAACAATCAAGTGCTTTCACAATGAGGCTTTTAATTCTTGATGCTTTTCTTCTCGTGCTGTAAACAGCTCATAAAATGTCATATGTAACTGTGAGTGTTAAGAAAATAATCAGTCTTACATTTTTACATTATTTTGTGCAAACACACAGTTGTTTTGTTTTGGCAAATGCCTCACTGTCTTAATGACTTCTGTCCAAAATAAAGAAGATGAGATTAAGTGAATATTCCTTCATTCAAGATGAGCTGTATTTATTACTGGAACGGAAGTTGTCATATCCGTGATCATTAGCTTTGAACTTTAAGCATGACTGCTTGTCTTCCAAGGACTGTTTTTCTTCAAATGATTGGCACCAGCAGCATAAGCACGACTGTACAAAACAAATAACTCGTTTATATGTTTACATCAGTTACACTGTCATGACCCTTCCTACTTTCTAGGGTTCTGACTTTCTTTGCATGATCCAGAATTCTTGGGCCACTTTCTTTCCACGCTCTCTTATTTTTCTCCTTAAAAACATATAATTACACAAGTAGTATATGACAATTTTTTTAAACTAGAAAATACAGAGAAGAAAAAAATGTATATAATTAAAATACTTCACCTTTTAATTAAAATTAAAAGAGAAAGTCACTCTTAATTCTTGATATTTACCCTTGATTACTTAAGAAATACTCTTAATACTTGATAAATATATAACTCAAGACCTTTTATATGCAAATAGAAATATGACCACACACATACATATACATGACTGTATATGTGCATGTTTGTGGAAGCATGTGTATAATTTATTTTAATAAAATTGTTATACATACTACTCCATAGACTGCTTTTTCTCACTTGACAGTGTCATAAACACCTTTCCATGTCAATGAGTTTAACATTACATTGCCATTTTTTTCAGCCACATGTTATTCTCATGTTCCTTTTCAGTATTGTTATACAATGAGATTATAAACTATAAAAGTGTTTCAGCTTTATTTATCCAATTTTTTTCTTGGATTTTTTAAAATGCAAAACTTTGTTCATTCTGTTTTCTGAGAATCTATATGCATAAGAAAATGAAATGGGAGGTGCACTGTTTTCTGTTCTGTAAAATGAAGGAGTTGATCTTGATGATGTTCTCTTCCAGCTCTAAAATCTATGAGTTTATGAGTGGGTAAAGAATTTTATAGACTGCCTTAGAGTTTACAAGGAAGCTAAGTTCTTGGCTTTCCAATAATGAACTACCAGGGACAAATAGATCACTCCCATATAAGGAGAGGGAACATTTCATTTCATGTTAAATTGTTGAAGGAGTGAAGGAGTGGTTGGATGGGTATTACAAGGCAAGCAATTGAACGAAGAATAATTGCACATATTCTACATCAAGGAGCACATCTCTGCTTTACAAAGGTGGAAAAGAAGAGGTAGAACTTGAATAAAATTTCTTTGCTTGTCTTGTTATTCTTATGTCCATGTGAAAAAGAGACCAACTTAACTATAATCCAAATTGTGCTGCATAGTCCAAAATCCACCAAAAACAGAAACAGTGTATTTAATTCATGTTTTAGCTCTTATTTTATTATGTGATATCTGTCAGATATCAATGCATGTAATTTTTATTAATTTTATTAACAATTCTATGTTTATAACTGATTGGTTGAGGCAGCAGGGAGTGGTTGACTAAGATTTATAGGCAGAAATCAACTATAGTGATTTATGAGCAAAAGTCATATTTTAAAAAATCATCCATGATGTAATGCAAGGGAAAATGTAAAACAATTTACTAGATCTCTCTGGATAGAAATATTAATAGTTTGGAAGGGTTACATTTGGTGCCAGATTAAAGGGAGCTTTTCATTTTGGAAAACTCTTACCTTAAAGCAGTTTTTGAATCTTTTGCTCACCAAATACAGAGCTATTGGATTAATGCAGGAATTCAGGGAGGCCATGTTGATGCCAATGTAGTCCAATACCAACAAAAAGCTGTAAAAAAAGCCCAAAACATGTCTGTGAAAAATATGCTGCTCTGAGCATGTATTCTTTGCAGACTTTTGTGTTTTTGTGAAGAAAAAAATTACTGATAACAATAGTTTTGACTTTCTCACTGGCCTTTGCTGATAATAATTCCTCTCTCTCTTCCTCTCTGCCTGGCTCTCTCTTTCTCTCATTCTCTGTCGTTGCCCACCCTCCACCCCCTTGCCCAGTTCTCTCTTTTAAAATAAAATCTCATTTGGAAGTGCTGAGGCTGGCTGAAAGAAGGATTTACAAAGTGTAGAGAAGAATCAGACCTGATGTTTTCAATCATGCTATTGACTCATCATTTTGACAACTCTGGCGCTCCATTTCCAGGGTTCTTATAAGTCCCCTTTACTCCTTCGTCTAAAATAGGAGCGAAAGTAAAAAAAGGAGAATCTTAATTGCTCCTTAAGGATTAGAAAAGTAATACCCTCTCTTTCTGCCTATGAAAGGGGTTAATGGAAAAACTTCTGAATGGCATTATTTACAATACAATTTCTATTTTACCTTTCTTACCTCAAAAGTTCACATCTATGGGGATCATTCTGATCATAAAGAGTGTGTTTCAAAATCCTGCTGAGGTGAAGAGGAAGCCAGCACAGGGCAAAGACAAGGACCAGGCAGAATACTGTTTTCGCCACTTCCCTTCTCTGAAATAAAACCACAGTCAGACACTGAATAAATGGTTCGTTATAATCACGGCATTATCCTTGCTAAGCAGAACAGTTAACACTGTTTACAAAAAGTCAGTGGCATTTGTAAAAATTCAGGACAATGAGCTTCAAATTAAATAGTTAATGTGAATTAGAACTAAAATAACTAGAGACTCATTTTAATAAGTAATGGCTCTTTCTAGATCCTTTTAGGTTATATAGAATATCTCTAGATAGATAATATAAAAAATATCCCGTGTATATTCAAAAATACCAGAAGCAAGAAAGGGAAATATGCTTTGGTATATAATTATTTTAGTTTGTTATCATCACAATAATTTTCTTATTCCTAACCATAATTGTAATCATGCCTTAGTACATATTTCTATTTTCTTACCTGCTTTAAGTGATCATTTAAAGCAATTTGCATGCCACTCTTCTTTCTCAACATTTCACAGGTCATCAAGGTATAAAAAAATGCAGTGATGGCCAATGGCAAGCAGAAATAGAAACTAAATAGCCACCAATCCTTAGCATTCTTGTAAAACTACGGTGAAGAGAGAATTTTATGATTAATATTCCTCTTTAAGAAAATCTTACATACCAAATGTTAAATTTTAAGAATGCTTTTGCATAACAAAGGAAAGCATCCCCAAAACAAAAAGGCAACCTGCTGATTGGGAGAAAATACTTGCAAACAATATATCTAATAAGGAGTTGATATCCAATATATATAAAGAACTTATAAAACTCAATATCACAAAAACAAACAATCTGATTAAAAAGAGGGCAGAGGACATGAATACATATTTTCCAAAGAAGACATACAGATGGCCAATGGGCACATAAAAAGACATTCAACATCACTAATCAGGGAAACGCAAATCAAAACCACAGTGAGATACCACCTCACAGCTGTCAAAACGGCTATTACCAAAAAGACAAGAAACAACAAGTGTTGGTGAGGATGTGAAGAAAAGGGAACCCTTGTGCATTGTTGGTGGGAATGTAAACTGGTACAGCTACTATGGAAAACAGTATGGAGGTTCCTCAAAAAACTAAAAATAGACCTACCATACCATCTAGCAATCCCACTTCTGGGTATTTATTCAAAGAAAATGAAAACACTGATTCAAAAAGATATATATTACCCCTATGTTCATTGCAGCATTATTTACAATAGCCTATATATGCAAACAACCTAAGTGTTCATCAATAGATGAATGGATAAAGAAAATATGGTATATACATAAACAATGGAATACTACTCAGCCATAAACAGGAGTGAAATCTTGCCATTTGCAACAACATAGATGGAACTAGAGAGTATTATGCTAAATGAAATGAGTCAGACAAATACTGCACGATTTCACTTAAATATGGAATGTAAAAAACAAAACAAATTGAACTAACAAACATAACCAAATAAAAACAGACTCATAGATACAGAAAACAAATGAGTGATTGCCATAGGGGAGAACCGTGAGAGGATGGGCAAAATAAGAGAAGGGGATTGAGAGGTAAAAACTTCCAGTTATAAAATAAATAAGTCATGGGCATGTAATGTACAGCATAAAGAATATAGTCAATAATATAGTAATAATGTATGGTGATGGATGGTAACTAGACTTGGTGTGGTGATCATTTCATAATGTATAAAAATATCAAATCACTACGTTGTACACCTGAAACTATTATAATACTGTCTGCCAGTTATATTTCAATAAAAAAAATTTAAAAATCATATTCATCAAGAAATAAATACCTTCTAAATAAAATCCATTTCATAAATACTATATAGAATTTTTCAGGCCACATCTACTGAGCAAATAATTAAATACATTAAATGAAACAAACTTTCCTAAAAAAGCATTTCAATTCTCTAGGGCAGTGTGCTATAATTATGCATAAAATGTAAGTAGTTGGACAAAATTCAAAATATTTGGAAATTCTAATATTTTTGTCTTCACATAAGCAAGTTATCCTTAAGGTGGTCTTTGTGTGAAATACCACATCTGAATATGTAAAGACATCCTAGTGTTTAAGGGAAGTTTTCACTTTTTAACAAGTTTGTTTTATGGGAAAAACAGATATGAAAAGGTCTATGTTAATCATTTAGCTCAGTAATGTATAAATCTAACCTATCAATTAAAAAAAATCAAAACTGCTTAAGACATGCCTTTTCTCTTATTGTTTTTCTGCTCTATTTAAAATTTTTTTAAAAAAACTTGTTGCTCCAGATTAATCTGTGTCAGAGCAGAATTTAAGTAACTTATGCAGTTCACATTAATGTCCCTCTTTATTCTTTTGATTACCATGATATACACAATTCGTAAAGTATCATGCAGTCTTTTTACATATAAAATAGAAAATAATCATCGGTGACACTTGGACCAGCCCCCTTTGCTTTAACTCCTCTTAACCCATTCTGTTGGGAAGATCCTTTTACACTAAGGCTCTGTACTCTGATGACCAGCACTGCCCTTCTTTTTGCTATCTCCTAATTCAACGTTCTTGAATAAATGGCCAAGATGAAAAGTTCTTTGCAATGGCAGCCTTCCCTCTACAGAGAGGACAGGCTTGCTGCTCAGAATCCTGCCATAGCAGGGCCACTTCTACTTGACCATTCGCTGAAGCAGCCATTCTCTCTCAAGGCTGCTGTGTTGTCTTATGCAGAATACGTAGTAGTGGTCAGTCTTTGTGGGGATTTGAGTAGAAAAGCTGTAAATTCAGACAGATTCTCTCCTGTGAACTTGGGTTATCTGCATCCCTGAACACCAGGATTTTCTTGGAGATGTAGTGACCCGGCTTCCTGCAGCTTGGGTTGTTACTCACCATTAACCCCGCAGTCCTGGAACTTACACTTTAATTTATGCCAAGGACAGTCATAAATCAATACCTTCCCAAGAAGGGGCGATCAGGGGGAAAATACCTAAATATTTATAAGGCAAGATGGAAAGGGAAAAAAAAAGTAAAACTTACCTGCATGAAGGCTGTTTTCTGAGTGGGATGAAGCAGGCAGATTCGCAGATAACTTCCTTTGTAGTCAGCGGTAATCATATCAAAACCCACGGCTTCAGGGACAGCCAGAACCACAGAGACCACCCAAATTAAAACAATTTCTACTGCTGTCCATTTTGGAACCCCGATTCCTTTAATTCGACTCCAAGAAGCAACAGCTCGATATCTGAAGAGCAAAATAGAATTGTTTGCCAAGCTGGCAGAGCCTGGTTTTATTGAATTATATAGTTTATTTTCTAAGTTACAGAGCAATCACTAGTATAGTGTCCAGGATATACTTCACTTAAATATTCACTCTTACCTGTCAATACTTAGAGCACACAGACTCAGCACAGTGATGCCCACGGAGGCCTTCTGTATGAAAGGCACCAGCTTACACATCTCGACTCCAAAGGGCCAGTCCTCCGCCAGCAGCTGCATGGAGGAGACATGAAGCTCTGTTAGGGAGACTTTCATGAGGCGCCCTCTCAACTGCATTACTTAGTGGAGAGTAATTAACGTACAGGGTAAGATAGCAAATTCCAGTTCTTATTCTTTTCCTCACGGACTACTCCTTTGAAAAGCACCAGTGTTCGATATATGGAACAAGAGAGTGGGCTGAGAATAATGAAAATGCAGCCAGTTCATGAGAATTCGTTATGCGTTTATAGTAGCTCAGGGTCAGGATCTCGACCGTGGGGCCAACTGAGGCCCGTCACTTAACTTCCCCTGACAACACTGAACGTGCGGTGCTGAACACGTCTCTGATACTGTCATGGAGTCTCAAATGCTCAGGTCACGGCCACGTCAAGACACGGGTTAGTTAAAAATAGATGATAAATGTTCCTTAGCTAGAGAGACTAGGCACTCCCATGGAGAACAGCGTGGGCATTCGCCTACTTTTTCTTCACTGTAGTCAGCTTACTTGACTGGACAGTAACTCCGCCACAGTAGGCACACTGCTCCTTGAACACACCAGGCACGCTCCTGCCTTAGGGCTTCACTGCAGGTCTTTCCTTATCCTTGAAGGCTCTTTCCCCACAGATCCACCCGGCTAACTCCCTTACCTCCTTCAGGCCTTGATCAAATCTCATCTTTTCCACATGACCTACCCTGATCACATTATTAGTACAGCAACCACCCAGGCCTCCAATCTCCCTTACTCTACTCCACTTTTGGTTTTATCTATAGCACTTATCAACTCCTATTGCATATATTGTAACATTTACTTATTTGTTTGTTTAGTTTTTGCTCTCCGGAACTCTCAGAGTACAAGACAGAATATGACCTCTGCAATTCCCAATTATACATGTATTTCTTTCTGTCTGACTTCAGACTATGCAGCCATCTCTTGTTAAACTCAGTTGTTTTCTTTCTTAAGATGACTGGGTGTGCCCCACACTGGCTAATGAATCCCTTTAGGTAAACATCTGGATCGAATGTTCATGAGGTTTTGAAAAAAAAAGAAAAGTATTTCAAATCTATGTTTTTTTATAAATGTTTTAAAAAGTAACCTTCCAAAAGTGAAAACTATTTTGAAACACAATTGAATCTTTCTGTCCTTTCACTAGTGAAGGTTCTTTCCAGAGTCTGTCAAGCTGGGCGATTGTTCTATAACTAGAATGGCACCAAAGGCTGAAATGTGTATCTCATTACCAATATGACTTGGAGCTCCAACAGGGGATCAATTTCATTTCTAAGTTAGACATGAAAAATTACACCAACATGTAGGACAAATGTTGGCAAACTTACCACAAATATACTTATTACAGGGTTCTGAAAGCCGACAGAGCCAGTCAGGTAACATAGAGGAACGGAGGGGGCCAGGTGTAAGAAAGTCATTGGTGTTGGGAAGATAATAGGGAGTGTTGGGGTCTGGGGTAAATCTCATCTAAAAGGAGTAGCTGCTAATGAACATGATGTGATTTTTGCCAAGGGACTCTAAATACAAAAATCTCTTGGTTTTTAGACCCCAATTGAAATTTTTATATGAAATCTCACAATTTAAGAAAGTTGTCAACTAATTCATTTTTTTAGAAAAATTGTCAGATAACATTGTATTATCATATTAGGAGAGTATGGTGGGATTTGGGGTACCGTCTTGATAGGCTTCTCAGCAAGGTCTCTCAGAACAGGCAACATTTGAGTAAGGACCTGACTAGAATAAGAGAGTAGGCCAAGCAAAGAGCGTTTTAGGCAGAGGAAAGAGCAAGTGCAAAGGCCCTGAGGTCAAAATAAGCCTGATGAGTTGAAGGGACATTAAGAAGGCTGATAAGGCTGAAGTGGAGTGATCCAGGCCAAGTGTCTAGGATGTGATGTTGTAGAGGTAGGAGTTTGAATGTTTTTTTGAGGAAATTCATTGCTTTTGAACAGGAATATGGCATGATCTTATTTATGTTTTTAAAAAGATCACTCTGGCTCCTCAATGTAGAATATATTGTGTGGCCAAAAAGGGAAGCTTTCGTGAGAGCTCATGGTGGGCTGGGCCGTGTGGTGCCATGGGGCTGAGGAGACTGGGTTATAGACGTACATATTTTAAAGGTAGAGCTAGCAGGACTTGTGGATGGGTTGGATGTAGGATTGACTGAGGAGTCAGGAAACTCAAAGAGGTTTATCATGTGAATGGTGGAGCCATTTATTGAAATGGGGAAGACTCAGGGTACCAAGGTCTGAACCAGCTACAAATTCAAAGTGCTTCAAAAGAACTGCCAATTACCCTCAGAAATATGAGAGCAAAAGCTTCCAGACCAGTTACAAGGACTCTGCCAGGCCCAGCTTGGTGTAAATGATCCAGACCATATTCTGTCTAATCATTCTGGTTGTCCTTAGATGAACTAGGAAAACAAAAAAAAAAAAACAAAACTAACACTGATATGGCACTTAAAATGCACTATTCTAAGCACTCTACACATCATCTATCAGTGAATCCCAAAAGCAATCCTAGGAGGTAGTATTACTATTATCCTCATTTTATAGAAGAAAATTGAGGCACTTAGAAGTTTATTGACTTGCTATGTTGGTTCTAACTATGTCCACAAATTCTTTGCTACTCCTCCCTTCAAAAGGTGAAGCCTCGTTTTCCTCCCCTTGAATGTCGTTTGGACTTAACGATTTGCTTTTAACAAGTAGAATGTGGTGACGGTGATGATATGTGACATCTGAGACTAGTTCATCAAAGGCATTTTAGAGCTTCCTCCTTGCACTCTCTTGGGCACTGATTCTGGGGGGGGGGCAGCTGCCATGTCAGGAGGACACTCCAGCACCTCCACTGAGAGGCCAACATGGCAAGGAACTGAGGCCTCCTGAAATGACTAGCACAAATTTGCCAGGTGTAGAAGTGAGGGGATCCTGCAGCCCCAGGCAAGCCTTCAGATAACTGCAGCCCCCGCCAATATCTTGACTGCACCCTCATGAGAGATGGAGCCAAAACCACCCAGCTAAGCTGCTCCTGAATACCCAACCCACAGTCACAGTGTGAGATAATAAATGTTGATTGTTTCAAGCCACTAAGTTTTGGGGTAATTTGCTGCTCGTCGTTAGACAACTGATATACTTGTCCTTGGTCACTCACTTAAGTAAGTAGTGTATCCACATTTGAACCCACGTGGTCTGATTCTAGAGTCTATAGTGCTTTAGAAAAGCTGACCTTAGAAAAGAGAATGTTTAGAATTAAATCAATATTAGCATTTTAAGGCCCATAGCTATGTGTCAAATAATGGTAAAATATTTAGATGTAGAGTAAAATTTTCTTCTAACCACTTAGCTATTTTATTCATGTCGTGTCCAAAAATTTGGATAGTCTCAAGTATTTTATTGTCTCAAACGAATTCCAAACATGCAAATATTAGTATCACACAGGTACAGCCATCAGATGAATCAGGATGAATGAGTGTCCAGGCCACTGCAGGGAAAGAAGTCCAGCCAATGAAAATGAGCTCTGCAGTGAAACCAGGCCCTGTTTTGAGGTTCTATTGTCTTTGGCTCAGCCTAGAAAGTGGATGCTTGCTCTTCATACCACTGGGAGGCCTGCAGCCCAACCTCTGACCCAAGTTATCACAGAGGATAGAGAAACACAAACTGAAAACTCTAGGGATTCTCTTCAAGTGTAACACAGAGATAGTCAGAAACCTAAACGTAATGAGAGACTACGGTTTTCTAATCTACCCTTCAAAAGGGAAAAAGACTGCAAAAAAAGGGAGTGTTAACCTTTATCAGCTTCAGTATTTCACAGTTTCAATTCAGACCCGAATGCTGCTCGTCCTGAGAGGCCATAGAAAATGGGGGATGGAGTGCCCACTGCCACTTCTATTATTTTGTAGTGAGAAGGATGATTTTGGCAACCTCTGACTCTCTCCGATCAGAAGGCTTTGCGGAGACATCCAGAAGCCTGATATCCTGTGACAGAAACCATGCCCACAACTGATGCTCATCTTTGTCTTCATGGCCTCCACTAAGAAAGTTTTGGGCAGTTTAGTGCCTGGAGCTTATTTAAATGCAAAGACTTCAACCTCTTGTTTAATGGTAAACAAAGTCCTGGGTGGGGGAAAAGCTGTGAAGTTAAAAAAAAAAAAATCACTCTCAACCAAGATGATATCTTTAAAATTCGGTGAAAGAATGTTCTTATAGATTTTTATGATTCCTGAAAATTAATTGCTTCACTATTTGCTGTCAAAAATAATGACTTTCAACAACTATAATTTGAAGTCCAACAATATAACTTTCCTCTTTGTAGAGGAAATTGATTCTCTTTGTTGCCAGAGGAAGCAACTCTAAACCCCACCAATGACACATTCTTATTCTTTATGTTTGGTTGTTTTCTTTGGACTTTACCCCATCAAATTAGATAACTTATGAGCAAGATCTGAATGCTGAAGACAAATCAAGCACATAATCAAACAAGACTCTCTGATTGCAAAATGAATGTTAGAGTTCGAGATTGGTTCCAGGTCCCCGCCACATGAATTAAATTTTCAGGTCTTGTTTAAAGTTAAGTTTGAATATATGTTACCTACAATTTATCAGATGTAGCCAGTTAGAAAATACTCCTATAACTGACACTGTTTTTCACACCGTGAGTCTCATTCACCGAAGAGCTTTTGTTACTGTTAGGTCCTACGAGAAGGTGGTGGCCAATTGACAAATAGCAGCCTATGCTTGTGCTGACCCTATTCCTCTAAAGCCATGCTGCTTCCTTAGCACATTTCTTTTGTATGAATAAACACAAATAAATAAACCCTAGATTGAAAAATGTTATGACCATACTGCCTATAAGGTCTCTCCTCAAGTATGGCTATGATTTCAAAATTTTATGTTAGGATAGCTGCTTGAGAAAAAGAAAAGGCAACAGAATCCAAAGAAACTGTTTTTACATTACATGATAAAGTTATTTTTGAACCATATAGGTTTTTTTGTTAATTTCTAAAAGGATAAAGAGC